CCAGCTGTGCAGATTTCTCCTCCATGTCAGGAAAATAGGAATGAAAATCCTGAATCAACTTGGTCAAATGTTCCACGATGATCAACTTGACCTGTGCTCTGTCCACATCCTCACTAGAGAGAAAATCATCCAGCTGAGGAAAGCAGGTGAAATCCTCCTGTGCACAGGCCCTCCTCCACAGTTCTGCTTTCTTCAGGAAGCCACCCACCTTGTCATACAGGTTTAAAATGCTGGAGTTCTTGCCCTGCAGAGATGTATTCAGTTCGTTCAGTTTGCTGAATATATCTGCCAGATAACACAGCTTTGCAAGCCAATCTGTGTCCTGGAACAAGGTGGCATGGGGAGATCTGTGCTCAGTCAGAAAGGCGTGCACTTCGGATCTTAATTCCAACAGCCGGTTGAGTATTTTCCCTCGAGAGAGCCAGCGCACTTCTGTGTGCAGCAGCAGTTGTGTGTGTTCAGCTCCCATATTTTCACAGAGGCGGGAAAACAGGCGCGCATTAAGTGGCCTTGACTTAATGAAGTTGATCACTTTGATGCTGCTGTTCAAAACGTCATGTAACACAGGGCTCATTTTCTTGGATGCCAATGCTTCCCTGTGTATGACACAGTGAGTCCACATCACGTCGGGGTTTTCTTTTTTAATGCGCGCTATCAGCCCTTTCGCGCGGCCCGTCATTGATGCTGCCGCGTCTGTACAGATGCTGCTGCAGGACTTCCAGCTCAAACCATATTCACAGAAAGCGCCATTGACAACATTAAATATGTCCTCTCCTGTTGTTTTCCCTTCCAAGCTTTTGCAGAATAGTATGTGCTCATAAATGTCATCAGTATCAACGTACCTCACAAAAGCAACAAGTTGTGCATTTCCACTGACATCTGTGGACTCATCCAGCTGGAGTGAAAAGGAGTCGCTAAGTTTTCCCACAACTTGCTCGACAATGTCTGTCCCCATTTTCTCGATTCTGCGGCAAATAGTGTCGTTTGACAAAGGCACGGTCTTTAATGTCTCTGCTGCGCGTTTGTCCAGCATCGTCTCAGCCAGCACTACAGCCGCGGGAAGGAGGAGGTCTTCAGCGATGGTGAATGGCTTCTTGGCTTTAGCTACGAGCAAAGCCACTGCATAAGACGCCTCCAGGGCTTTGGCTGATGTTGTGGAGGCCTTCCGCATCGTGTCTTGAGATGATCTGAATTCAGACAGTTTCCTCTTAAAAAAATCCGGTGGCTTACCAACATGACATCCATGTTTTGTCGTAAGATGGCGCTGCAGATGTGCTGGCTTCATGCTACTGTTAGCTAATTTCTCCCCACAGAAAAAACACAGTGCCTTGGGTGGGTTGCAACTCGTGGAAGTAAATCCAAATAAAACATAATCTTCAAGATACAGCCGGAATTTTGCCGGCTCTGGTTTGGCCTTCTTGGCCACTTGTCCCTCCATGTTTTCCAAAGAATTGCTGCTGCGCTTCAGCCACGCGTCCATCGCTGATCCAAGTGAGTGACTGATGATGCCAGGCGTTATATGACAGGTTGGAGTAAACCATCTTAAAATGGGGGGGGGGGGGGGGGGGGGGGGGGGACTCTGGGATTTTGGGTAATAAATTTAGCCTATTTCTACTGAATATAAAACACGTTTTATGAACTTTTACTCAATTAATAAACATTTTAGGAAAGTATTTGTTAAATAATTATTTTTTAAAGATTTTCCATGGATACTATTTTTTTAAATGAATGTGCATTTTCTCACGTACCCCCTGGAGTTTCTTTACGTACCCCCAGGGGTACGCGTACCCCGATTTGAGAAAGGCTGTTCTAGAGCGAAGACAGGAGTGAGTATTTGCAGATTGACCATGTGAGGAATATGAGTTAGTAGCTTACGGTTTCCTGGTTGTTGGTAAAGGCATAGAGAGGGGGGAGACAAGTCATGGCTGGCTGAGCTGGTCGAGTGAGTGTCGGGTGTGGCTGGGAGCTGAGCACCAGAGTTCGGGTTGTCCAGGTTGGCAGGTGGGGGTAGGAGAGCAGGCGGTCAGGGGCGAGCGACGGGCTGGCAGGCAGGGTTGAAATCCGGTGAGACTATTTTCAGATGGTGGAGGTTTGGTTGGAGGAGGAGAAGCTCCTGAGGAGGTCAGAGGAAAACAGAAAGATGAGTTCAGGAAGGCGAGGTACACAGGAGATAAAATAAATTTCAAACACTGGCAAGGTACTTTCACGAGTTCTACCCAATGTTGAGTATCACCCGGCACTGATGAGTTTTCCCGACGCTCCTTAAATCTCCTGACCACTGATGAGCAGATAGGCAGCAGCTGCTCTCCAGGCACACCCACCTGCACACAGAAAAACTCAGCACAACACAGTTAGACTCAGCACAAACCATGACACAGAGAGCGGCAGAGCACTGATCGTTGGTGCGCTCCAGGCAGCTGCGTTCTGCGCACGGTCCATTCTCAAAGTGGTGCAACCAAAAACTATAATTAACACATGATCGTTCATGTCCTCTGGTACTCCGTCTTTTAATCGTGCCTGACGCACTCGCTCATCATGTGCTGTGGTGATTTCACCTCACTGACGCAGCATCGAAACGCGCTCTCCGCTTTGCGGTCAGGAGATCCCTTTAATCTGCTCAAAAGTAACTGATGAGGTGAAAAAGTAAGAATCCAGACATCAGTTTTTCTGGAGAGTTTAGAGGAGATGCAGGAAGTTGAGAGACAGGCAGGACAGGAAATAGTTAAATAAAAATCAGAAAACAAAGAAAAATGTTTGAAAGTAAAATATAGGTATTTATCTTCACTACATGTTTTTACCTGTATAAAACAATAAGTTATACACATGTAATATTTATACATTTGATACAATACAGATCACCTTCAAAACTCAGTCACACTCCCAGGGCCGTCTCAAGGCATTTTGGGTGCCAAGGCCAAACAGACGTCCAGAACTCCGGAAGAACCGGAACTCAGAGCAGCAGGCAGCAGACTCAGTCGATGAGACGGCGATGTTATCTCAGGAATCTAGGACATCTGGTGAAACTCAGCAAAGTATCAAAACACACACACAGGGCATTTTGTGGAACCCTTGTGAGGTTTGATTTGGTTCCTATGGACCCACTTATAGACGGGATCTTTGTTACTTTTGGTGATTTTGATCAGATACACGACCAGAGAGAGTTTTTCAGTGATCAGGTATGGACCTGACCACTTCGGCAAAAGTTTCTTAGCTGGGTAAGTTTCTTACCAGAAGAGACTTTTGTGTGACCGGACTGAGGAGCAAAGTTGTAGCACCAGGCCTTATCACCAATGTTAAGTTCAGAATGTGAGGCCTTTTGATCATAGTAAGCCTTCCTGCCCTTATGGTGTCTTTTTTGTTTACAACAAAGGCAGTCACTTTCATCATCATCATCATCATCATCATCATCATCATCATCATCATCATCATCATCATCATCATCAATATTATTTTTATTATTATTATTTGAAAACATAGAAATATTTACTTTAATTATAAATAGCTGTTTGATTTCAAGAAATTCTATAACTTATAATAGAAAATGACTGTTTGATGTGTTTTATTCTGGTATTTTACAGTATTTTTATTGTGTTTTATCTGTTTTTATCCTTTGGTGTTTTGAAATGTGCTTTTAAATCAAATGTATCATTATCATTATTATTATTATTATTATTATTATTATTATTATTATTATTATTATTATTATTACTATTATAAATCTGAAAATCCCAAATAATATAATTGTGAAGGAGAACTCTCTCAGAAACTAAATGTTTCATTTTAAGAGGCTTTATCCTCCTAAAATGTATGTATATAAAATAAAATAATCTATTTCATTTTTAGACTCCACACCCTGTTCCATTTTTTGCTTTAATTTTCTGCTGAAACTGGATAAATAAAAATATTATTGTCTGTGCCCCAAAGGGGGAACTATTTGTTCAAATAAGAGATCAAACCAATTCTACGTTTAATGGTAACACTTTACAATAAGGGTCCCTTTGTGAACATTCGGTCGTGCATTATTAGGCATTGATAAACTATTAAATAAAGCATTAATAGCTGTCTAATATTAATAATATTAAATAATGCATTGCTATAAGTGCACACACTGTCCTAACCTTAAAGACACTAAATAATTAACAATATCAGGACTGTTATTAAAGGGATATTTTGTTTATGAATGCTCAATAATGCACTAAGTAACTTCAATAAAGGGACCCTAATATAAAGTGTTACCCTTTTAACAGTTGTTATTTGATTTAACTTAACTATTTTAAATGAATATTTGTAATAAGTAATGCCAATCTCAATGTGTTAAGCCTGCAGTGAAATCTGAGCAACTTCAGGAAACACCTTCCAAAATAAAATAGTAAATTAGAGTTGAACATTTTTAACAAAAATTTAAAAAGCAAATGTAAAAAAAGTGACAAAGAACATTTTAGTTCAAATGATGGAAAAGTCTCGACCAAACACTGAAGTTTGACAGCAAAAAGAGATTAAGTACGGAATACAAAAATTCAATATTAACATTACTAATATGAGCTCTCAAGCTTCGACAACCTGGATCTGTGTTCTCATTCTGTCCACTCCACCCTGTACCCTCCCAAATCACACACATACAGTTTATATTGTCTCTGTGGACGTGGATAAGAGAGGTAAAGAGTAATTTCCTGTCTCGCCTTTTGAGGAGGAAGATGGCGGATCATATCACGGGCTGAGGCCAACATGATTTCCTTTACAATAAAATCCAGATAACTGTCCCCACTTCTTCACTTCATCCTGTATTCTTCTCCAGGCGTGGTTTCGTGTTTTTGTAGCAGTTACAGATATTACTTTCACATCACCAGACTCGTTTTTTCACACTTTATCTGCTTACTCTGAGCTCCAGCCAGTATTATTTAAATATTTTTACTCTGTTGAATAGAAATTAGAAGAACACGCAGCAACAGTTCTTTGTATGTCCATTTTGTTTTCAAATAACCTGTTGTGTTCTCCTTCAGGCACATCAGTGAGCATCTCCACGTTCAGCCTGGTTGCCATAGCCATTGAGCGCTACAGTGCCATCTGTAATCCCCTGAAGTCGAGGGTGTGGCAGACCCGTTCCCATGCCTACAGAGTGATCGCTGCTACATGGGTGCTGGCCTTCATCATCATGATCCCCTATCCAATCATCAGTCACCTGGATTCTTTCCAGCGCGCCGACAACACCACAGCACATCGGTGTCGTCACAAGTGGCCCCTGGAGTCTGCAGAGCAGATCTGGTCAGTGGTTTTGGAACAGAAATCAGAATGTAACAAACCACAATGAGTAAAGCAGGATTACCGAAACACGTAATGGTCAGCGAGGAGTTGAACATGTTACCCTCTAGCTGTGAGGCAACAGTACTACCATGTACCACCAAGTAGAGAGTGAAATCAACCTATGAAGCACCAAAAATCACACGTGTAATAGGTTTGACTGTTTTTGCAGTGCAGTATTACAGGAAGCTCTTTTTAATCACTTTAATAACTCTACAAGTACTTGAGATGCACACATTATTAAATAAAATTCAGTTTATTTATATAGCAGCAAATCACAAGAATATAGGTATAAGAGGTACAAGAGGAGGTACAAGAGAAGGTATAAAGTAAACATTCTGCACATCAAATCAACGGCCCAAGTTAAGATTTCAAAAACTACGTCATGCATTATTTGGCATGAAAATATATCTGCAGGGATATTTTCGTTAATTTCCTTCTTCAGGATTTTTCTCACAATCCATCTTGCTCCTCTCTTAGGTACATTCTACTTCTGCTCGTTCTCTTCGCAATTCCAGGCGTGGTGATGATTGTCGCCTATGGTCTGATCTCTAGGGAACTTTATCGAGGCATCCAATTTGAGATGGGCCACAAAAAAGACTCAACTGGTGAGAATACGTACGCAACATGAATGGGAAAAAAGGACAGAAAACAGTCGGTTAAAGATTGACTTGATGTAGCTGAATGCAGTTTAGCTAGAAATATAAAAAGCGGACAGAATTGTATAAAAATGTCTTTTGAAAAATACAAGTTTAAATAAAAATGAGATGTGTTGAGAATAAAACACCACACAGCAAAATGTCATGTTTTAAGGTAAATGGATTTCTGAAATGGCCAGGAGTTATTTTACACAATTAATTTGAGTTGGGTTTTTAAATGTTAATGAGAAAATAAATATGATTTTACTAAATAAACATGTAAATAGAAATAAAAGTCAAATTTGTATTAAACTGGCCTTTTACCACAAATAATCCAAATAATTCCTGAATATAAATTTGTGATTCTTCTTGATTACAGACTCAATTTCTTTTGAAACAACCTCCTTAACACCAACCAAGCTCAAACATTAGTGTTAACATTATTTTTATTGTTTACATGAATGACTCCAAATTGCTTTTTAATCATAGCAATTTTATTTGTGCTACAATCACTGTAATGACTGCGGGTTAAATGAAACATAACCTTTTGAGTCTCTCAGCGTGGAGAGTCCTGGCTGGAGTTTAATTAGATGATGAAATTATCTGCTAGCTGCAAACATTTGTGTTCTCTGGTCCTCCAAGTAGAGAGATATATGACAAATGGTATGTTAGATTAATTCATCACCACTGTTGGATTCAAAAAGCACTTTGTGTACTTATTTTCTGAACTTATAAGATTCTTTATTTTAATGCTGCCACAAGGGTCCTAAATTACATTCACTGTACATTTTTAATTTATAAGGACATTAGAATTAAGAAATATTATTAATAAATGGTAAAAAAAAAATTATCCCCTGATGGATGATTACTGTCATTCAGTAGAAATTGTATGTTACTTTCCAGTCCATTATAGGATACAGCTACTCTTCAGAGAACTATGAGTCATTCAAGAAAACAAAATAAATAAATAAATAGCAGCATTCGTCATGTACAAATTATTCAGCTGACAGACAGAAGGAAAAAAAAACCTTAGCTCATATATTTAAAAAAAAAAGAAAAATGGTCGAACATTTTCTGTCACTGAGAGAACATTTCTACACTGTGAAGTCTGATGTGTTGTTTTGACGTCAAAATCTGAGTCACACAGAGATGCCATAACATTCGTGGTTATTGTTTTTATATTAACACTAGTTTATATAATCTTGACTTTTTAAAGTGTAACATTCAATGATGGTTTGATTGTTTTAGAGTTGCTAATTGTTATGGTCATTTTGGGCTGCAAAAGAAATAAATAAAATTTAAAAAAGAAAACATGTAAACCTGATTTATCTTAATTAACTGATTGAAATGATAATATGCAAAACCTTAAATGAGCCAATCTGTTTTTCTCAGGTAGTGGCAGTAATAATAATAATGGTAAAATTACGTTTTAATGTTATTATGACAAAGAAAGGAAATGTCAATATATGAACATACTTTGGCTGCTTTTCTCTTTTTTTGCACTATTTTGAAAGTAAAATATTTTTGCTGTAAATAAAACGCTTTAGCATTGTTTTGTTTAGAGAATCTGGAACTAGGAATAGCCTCCTATCCATGCTACTGAAGATATTTATTTAAATAGACAAATTTCTTCTTTAAGAAAAAAAAAATCCCTCATGTGATACTTTGAAGCGTAAACAAAATTGATGAAATACCCATGTCATTCAGTAGGTGGCGATCAAGTTCAGATTAAAACATCTAAATACAAATGAAGAACATTCTTAGTTTGACTAATGATACTCTCAAAACAAAATGTTCTCTTTTTACCTTATTGGACCTACTAATGCAAAATAAGTTTAATGGTAACAATGTTCAAGGAGTAATGTACTGTAGGGCATTTTTGATATTCATAGTCATGCGAAAATCAACTGTTAACTGATTACTGGTAGTTTACTAATATTTGTGCAAACAATGGCAATATTAGACTGTTAGTATTCAAAATAAGACTGGATCAGTTCTTTAAGGAACAATTCCTATGTGGTTTCAGCATTTTTTTTTACTGCTTGTGCCTACATCTAAGTTGCATGAAGTTCCTGTAGATTTTGGGACACCAAAAACATGTTAAAATCTGATGACTGTGGCATTCATTTAAATAAAACTCCGCTGCTGTACCTTACAGATGTGAAGAACGGCCTGACTTCCACTGTGTCTAACGGTAGTGATGATGGAGACGGATGCTATGTTAACGTGGTCCAACGGCCACACTCGTTGGAGATGTCCACCATGTCTACAACTTCAACCAGACCAATGAAGGCAGAACGACCACGTAGCAACACATCAGAAGCTAAGCTGGAGGCCAAAAAGCGAGTCATCCGCATGCTGGTGGTTATTGTCGTCTTGTTCTTCCTCTGCTGGATGCCCCTGTACTGTGTCAACACCTGGCGGGCTTTTGATGACGTCTCTGCCACCCGGACTCTTTCTGGGGCACCAATTGCATTCATTCACTTGCTGAGCTACACCTCTGCTTGCGTCAACCCAATAATTTACTGTTTTATGAACACACGTTTCCGCAAAGCTCTCCTTGCTACGTTCTCGTGTTGTGCTGCACCGTGCCGTCACCGCCGTCGCCGAGGGGTGCGCGACAACGAGGAGGATGTTATGACAACTGGGGCGTCCATGTCCAAGTTCAGTTACACCACAGTGAGCACCATGGGAACCTGCTGAGGAAGACGGATGCAGGCAAAATCCAGTAAAGACAGTTTCTACGGCAACATAGTTCTCTACATAATTTATTTTCAGATTGTGCTTTTAAAGACGATAATGTGACGTGGAGATGCAAACCATATAATGCAGCAGTATAGAAGCTTCATCCATGCCTGTAAGTAAAGTTACGTAGAGATTAACCAATCAAACCCAGTCTTACAGTGTAAATACGTCTTTAGCTGTGGGATAAAAGGCACAAAAACAGAGTATGTTATTCCGTCACAATGGATAAAAGCGGACTTTGCTTTAATGTTTATATGAAAGTGCATATGTTTGTATGTGTGCTGTCGAGAATGTGACTAAATGGCTGTTTAGTAATGTAAAAGAGGCAGTCTTGTTACACATCGTATAGCAAAAAAACCCATTTTGAGCTGTTTTATATTATGCTGTGAGTTGTACAAATGTACGTATTAATGATGGTACTTCACTTGCCTTGTGGCCTAAGTGCCTGCTCGTAAATACTGCTGCTTCTGTCTTGTTTGCCTCATTCATAATGGCGTCATATATATAGGAATATTGTAATTATAGAATTTTAGATGTATAGTTAAACAGTTGTAAAAGTTAAACAGAGCTGTAAAAGTTGTCATTTTAAACACAGATTAAAATGTATTATGCAGTGTGACGATGGCAATCTAAAGTGAATGTTTGTAGGACTTAACGATTCTGCACTTTTTACACATATTAGAAAGTCTAATTTTCTCCTTAGTGACAAGTTCTTTTAATGTTCATTTCATTATTTCACTCTGATGATGGTAGCAAATCAGAAAATCAATAAAATATTGTGACAGAAAATGTTTCTGTAAATGCAACTTTATACAGCTTATATTTAAAGAAATATCTATATTTCCACACAAATCTCATAAAATATGATCAAATTATTAACAAGAATCAAATGCAACATGCATGACCACTAACCAGCTGGAGCTTTTCCAGAAAAAAAAAGATAAAGATCATAGGTATCCATGCTTTCCAGTGTTTACAGCTTAGTCACTGTTGACTTTAGCTGAAGGCCATGAAGTGGACACTGGATTTCAGTGGTCTGTGTTGCATGTCGGTGACTCTGGTGCCCAAACTCCCCTCGCTCTAATCGTGTTTCAGCCTCACACCCTGCCAGACTCAACTGGTGGACATATTTCACTGGGTGCACCAAAGCACAACGCTGTCAGTCTAAGAACAAAAGATAAATGTCCTGCTAAATCCAGTAACCAGAATGACAACAACTTTGAGTTTTCACATTTTTCTGGAGTCTTTTGAATTTCAGTCCATTGCAATGACAATCTTGTCAATGCTTCCTAACTCCCCAAAAATATTTCATTTATTTGTCTTCACTAATTAGTAAGTGATATTTTTGCCACAATTATTCAAATCCCGAGTCTCGCTTGACACACACATGACAAACTGACAGAGCACCATGGGCCCTCCCCTTGTATAACCATGCAGGTGATTTCACCATCAGCTTTAGGACACAACAGGCAGACACATATAAATATCAGACCTAAACATTTATTTGTCTGCAGTGAACTGCAATCAGAAACTATTACTGTAGCTGCCAGATGCTCACATAGAAACACGCGGTCAACTGTGATGTTATTTATGAAAAAACATATTTGTCTGGTGAAAAGTAAGAGAGTGATTTCCCTCGGGTGTCTCACCTTTTTTTTTATCACTTTACAACCTACCATTCCTTGCCCCATTGCTCACACACACACGGTTTGTCTTATTAAAGGTTAATGTTCGTGGTGTTCGCTGGCAGAATCTCAAAGTGTACTCGTGGAGAAGAGGCTGTCTGCTTTAGAAACCTTCCATTCTGGACCTGCCGCCCAACCTTGAACAAAAAAAAGAATGCCTTTGAAGCAACACTAAAGAAACAACTGTCGTAAACAACCCTGCTGCAGTCTGCTGTAGCTAGTGCTAAAGCTGCAGCACTTAACCGGTTTGACTATTAACTGCAGTGTGAGAACACTATGGTTAATCCACCATTATGACTTATCCAACCACCAGGAAAAAAATTAAAACAGACAATAGTGCATGACCCGCAGGAACAATAAAAAGCAGGACCAGAACGGATGCACGAGGACCATGGCAGAAGTACAACCACCAACAACAACCACAGGACATCTTTATATCTACATAGGAAGCACTTGAAGTCTCATGTGGGAATAGTTTAGATGTGAAAATGTGCTAAAGGAGAACATGTTTGATTGATGTACAATTGTTACTAGAGTTGTGAAATCAGTTCATGCAAAATTATCTCCACAATCATGAAATCGTGACTGTAATCGTACCACCAACATTTCTAATTGATGACCCAACCGATATTAAATAAGCCATGAAGTATAGAGATCCACACAGACAAAATATATTATTCCTTACAAGTCCAGTAGCAACAAAGCCAGGTCATCATCAGTACGTGATTTTTATAGCCTCCTTTTAGTTCTCTCAAATGAGTGTAGGCTGCGTCAATGTTTTCTCTGGTTTAAATGATTTGCTTTACCTCCCTTACTTTTACTTTCAGGCTCCACCATGATGCCAATAAAAAAAGCAAATGTCTTCTTTTGTTGTGCTTTTGTTGATCGTTGGTAAACCGAAAAAGCAAATTTGCTAGGCTTTATGTTCTTGCTTAGCATGGGGGTCACTGTAAAGACACTGACACTAGTCAGTGACTCGATGCAATCTGCTGTGTTATACAGGAAACGCTTTACTAATTGGCATAAAGAACTAAACTCTAATGGAATGTTTACCTTGTGAAGTGCCTTGAAATTCCACTTGTCATGATTTGGCGCTATACAATTAAACTGAATTGAATCTTATATAAGCTATCAGCAGAGTAACAGCCCCAAGGCAGGTAGAGAGCTCCGCCTAGTGAACCCACGTGTACCACAAAACTTTAAAGTGCTGTTTCCGGTCAGCAGAGAGCTACAGAGTACTATCAAATCTGATGTTGGTAACAATTCTACCTCAAGAATCACTGAAAACCACTTTAAAAGCAACAGCTTAAAGTGCTTAAACCTAGAAGGGCTGCAACAAATGATCATTTGGATCATCGATGAATTGGATGGGGTCTCGGCTCGATTAATCGGATTAAACGGGACAATTTAAAACTGCTAGGGAAACATTTTTCTCTCTTTCCTTTCCTTTATTTAACAACAGAACATGATTAGAAAACAGTTCAATAGTGTGCAAAACAACATGCTATCACCTAAATATATCTATAATCAAACTATGAAGACGCACTCCTCAGCCTCCCTGGAAAGGTCTACTCCAAGGTACTGGAGAGGAGGGTCCGATCGATAGTTGAATCTCAGATTGAGGAAGGGCAATGTGGTTTTCGTCCTGGCCGTGGAACTGTGGACCAGCTTTATACCCTTGCAAGGGTGATGGAGGGGGCATGGGAGTTTGCCCAACCAATCCACATGTGTTTTGTGGATTTGGACAAGGCTTATGACCGTGTCCCCAGGGGCACCCAGTGGGGGACGCTCCAGGAGTATGGGGTGGGTGGCTTTCTGTTAAGGGCCATTCAGTCCCTTTACCAGAGGAGCGTGAGTTTGGTCCGCATAGCCGGTAGTAAGTCGGACCTGTTCCCGGTGAGGGTTGGACTCCGCCAGGGCTGCCCTTTGTCACCGGTTCTGTTCATTACCTTTATGGACAGAATTTCTAGGCGCAGCCGTGGTGTGGAGTGTGTCGAGTTTGGTGGCAGGAGAATCTCGTCTCTGCTTTTTGCGGATGATGTGGTCCTCCTAGCTTCATCCAGCTCTGACCTTCAGCTCTTGCTGGGTAGGTTTGCGGCCGAGAGTGAAGCGGCTGGGATGAGGATCAGCACCTCCAAATCTGAGACCATGGTTCTCGACCGGAAAAGGGTGGCTTGCCAACTCCGGGTCAGGAGAGAGGTCCTGCCTCAAGTGGAGGAGTTTAAGTATCTCGGGGTCTTGTTCACGAGTGAGGGTAGGAGGGATCAGGAGATTGACAGGTGGATTGGTTCAGCGTCTGCAGTGATGCGGACGCTGAACCGATCTGTCGTGGTGAAGAGGGAGCTGAGCCAGAAAGCTAGGCTCTCGATTTACCGGTCGATCTACGTTCCAGTCCTCACCTATGGTCATGAGCTTTGGGTAATGACCGAAAGAACGAGATCGCAGATACAAGCGGCCGAAATGAGTTTCCTCCGTAGGGTGGCCAGGCTCAGACTTAGAGTAGGGTGAGGAGCTCAGACATTCGGGAGGGACTTGGAGTAGAAACGCTGCTTCTCCGGATCGAAAGGAGTCAGTTGAGGTGGTTTGGGCATCTGGTCAGCATGCCTTCTGGACGCCTCCCTGGGGAGGTGTTTCGGGCATGTGGCCAAATCTAAACAAACGCGTCTGCCGAACTTTTACTCCGTCATGTTGAATCTTTAATCCCTGCGGCGTGGAGGAAACTTGTTAAAATATGTCAACGATTTAATAGAAGCTTTAAAGAACAAACTCTGGACGGTGTGAGGTGAGTTTCTCTCACTGCAGAAATAAAAACACACATGGAGCGTCAGCAGTCAGACGCAGCCGCTCACCAACACTCGTGTGTGTGTGTGTGAGCGTGAGCGTCAGAAGGCTGAACAAGAACCTGTAGAATAATTAAAGTCATCATGCTAGAGCAGCTTTCTCTGTGGTGGACCACACCAGCTTCTGCCACAATAAATAATTATAGTAATAATAATAAATCACACACAAAGTTGTGAACATTTTCATTTCCTTTCTGAACTATTTCTGTTGAGAGTTTTAATGTTTAAAATCTGTTAGATTGTTACTGACAGCAGCTTTATTTAAGTTCCACTTTCTCTTCTGACTGAATGCTGCTGCAGCATGGAGGTGTAGTTCTCAGTCATCCTGGACATGATCATCCTGAGAGTTTTAGCTGAAAACAGCGGGACGTTTCTGGGTATGTTGGAGCCATTTAGCCTCTCATCCCAGAGGCTTCTTCCAGAACATGTTTTTTTCTGAATGAAGGTGATGTTATTGTTGATAGAATTAAAATTCATGTTGAAGTTAAGATTATTTCATCAAGTAGGACCTGTGGTTAGATGGCTCATTTAAAACATGTTATGTCTTGAAAGAATTGGAATCGGGAATCGATAGAAACCGGAATCGAAACGAGGAATCAGAATTGGAATCGTTCAAAATCAAACGTTGCCCAGCCCTAATGTTGAGTCTGATTTACTTGTGTTGCAGGTGACAAAGGTCTTTGTCTAACATTGCTCCCAAACTTTTATAGTTTTTATTTTCTTAGGTCTTCCTTCTTCTGCCATGTTCTAGTGTGTCGTTCCTCATCAAATAGCCGGCTGTCTTTCTTGTTCTGATCTGCCTTGGTCTGCTCTGCTGCCACCTACACATGAGCTGCATGCATTGAATGTTAAATAAAGGTTGCACGACATGGAAAAAAAATAAAAAGTTGACCAACACAACAAATTGATTTTGTCATCAATTTTTATCAATATTATTGATTTGTTGTTGCAGCCTACTCTTTAGCGTTGCAAGGCCTGAGCCAAGAAGGGGATGCAAAGGCTTATTCAAACTTTATTTGCTAATAATATTATAGAATATTCTCCATCACATTCCCAGTAATGTTTTTAGGTCTAAAAATGCACTGAAACCTATGAAATTTTGTACATATCAACGATTTGACAAATACTTAATCTCAGTTTTATTTTTGAGACATACTGGATTCAGGTTTAAATGGCTTAAGATTCAAATGAACACTATGGCAAACAACACTTTAAATTCAAATAATGGTAGAAATTTGCTG